AGGGGAACAAAAATCAGTAGCAATTGAAGAATATATAATGTTTAATACTGATAGCGCTCACTCCTGATTTCTATACCACTGTACTATGTACTGAATACTTCCAGTGTGAGGTCTCAAATCGACTTCAAACTCAACCGAACTTTAGCTTTGCAATTTTAGTTCAGAAGCACACAAAATACTACTTTTGAACTGTTTTATGTCCAGTTATGATAAATAAGGATGAAAGTTGAAGGAGAAAGATTTACAGGTCATAAATATATAAGAAGGTTATTATAGCCAGGTGCCATGGCTCATGCCTGTAACCCTAGCTATTCAGAAAGCTGAGATCTAAGGATCCTGGTTCAAAGCCAGCCTGGGCAGAAAAGTCTGTGAGACTCTTATCTCAAATAAACTACTCAGAAAACCAGAAGTGGCTCTGTAGCTCAAGTGATAGAGTGCTAGCCTTGAGCTGAAGGGGTGAGGGACAACGCCCAGGCCCAGAGTTCAAGCCCACAGCCAACAATAACAACAACAAAAAAGAAGGTTATTACAAAATAGGATGAATGCAGGACAGTGAAGTGGGTTTAAAGTAGAAAGGGAGAGAGTAAGGAACAGGAGCATCTTTTATCTACTTTCTAGAAAGAGTAATAAGCCAGCAGCAGCTGACTGTCCCTGCAATTGAACTGAGGTCAGATGAAGAAAAAGGAAAGGAGATCAAGATGCATTGTACTCACAAACCGACACGTTGAACTGAAACCCTTTTGTACAACTACTTAAAGACAGTGAACAAATACATAAAAAATAGAAAAGTGCTATCTTTCCTACTCTAATAAAACAAATAAGTAAATTATAAATTAACCAATGAAACAATATTTTCATCACTCCACAAGGTATCTTGTATCTATTAGCAACCTCTCCTTATTTTACTGCCAGTCAAATATACTTAGTGATTTTGTGAATTTGGCTACTCTAGTCTCTTCATAGAACTGAAAACATAGTTCTTTATGACTTCATTATGAATTCAAAGTTTTTGATACTTAGAAATATGTATATACATGTATATATATATGTATACACACATTTCCTTAACATAAATTAATGACTTCCTCATTCCACATACACCAAGTTATTTCTTCATTAAGATACAGGGCAAATTTCAAACACATGTTATCTTTGCTAACAAAGTATTCAGTAAAAGACTACAAAAACAACAAAAAAGTAGGAATGCATAGTTTAATATTGCACCTATTGCCTGGATTTTATGGTATGCATTTTTATGACTAAAATTCCATTCCATTCCATGAGTAAATCTCACTTGACCATTCACCAGTTGTTGAACAAATGAGTTGTTCCCCTTTTCTTGGCTGTTATGAATTCTGTTGCTATGAACATTCATATACACATTTTTGTAAGAACCTGTTTTTCTATTTCTCATGGATATATCTAGACTAGAACTGCTAAGTCCTTTGGTAATTATATGTTAAGCCTTTGAGAGACTGCCACATTATTTCAAAGCGGCTGCATCATTGTACATAACTATCAGCATTATGTAAGGGTTTTCTGCATCCTACACAGCAGTTGTTATTTGTAGGTGTCCCAAAGGGTATTTATTAAGTTGTATCTTACTGTGGTTTTGATTTATATTTCCATAATGACTTACAATTCCGGTACTTTCATGTACTTGCTGGCAATCTTTATAATTTCAAGAGAGAATTCAATTTTTTTTCTATTTTTAAAAGATAATCTTTCACAACTGAGTTCCAAGAGTTATTATCCCCAGTAGGACATGCTTTAATCAGATATTAGTGACAAATATTTTCTTATTCTGCATGCTATATTGTATGTGCATGTGCGTGTGCGTGTGTGTGTGTGTGTGTGTCCAACTACACACATACCCTGCTTCTGGAACTTGAACTCAGAGCCTTTTGCTCTTGCTGGGCTTTTCTGTTCAAGACTGAATTTCTACCACTTAAGTCACACCTCCATTTTCAGCGTTTTGTTGGTTAACTGAAGAGTATCTTATATCTGTTTGCCCAGGCTGGCTTTGAACTGTTATTTCAGATCTCAATTACCTGAGTAGTGAAATGTGTGCCATTGGTACCTAGCTGTATGGTATTTTCTCTGCCTTCTTGATAGTGTCTTTGGAGCAGAAAGGTTTTACATTTAAATGAAGTCTTACTAACTTTTATTTGGTGAATTGTTGTAGGTAAGATCTAAGAAACCACTGTCCAATTTCAGGTTATGAAGATTTTAGCTGTTTTCTTCTGAGTGTGATAGTATTATTCTTACAGTTAGATATTTGATTAATGTTGAGTTTGAGAGGCAGGAGTCTAAATTGATTTTTTTTTGTATCTACTTGTTCTAATAATATTTGCTGAAAAGACATCTGACCACTGAATGTCTTAGCCCTGTGTTGATTTTTAATTTCATTACATTGGTTGATAAGTCTATCCTAATACCAGTACCTTAGCTATGCTTTCTGTTGCTCTGCAGTAAGTCCTGAAATTGGGAGGTATGAATCCTTCTATTCGGTTTTATTTATTTTTGTCGGTCATGGGGCTAGAACTCTGGTCCTGGGCGCTGTCCCTCAGCTCTGAATTCAGTGAAGGCTAGCACTCTACCACTTGAGCCTCAGTGCCACTTCTGGCTTTTTCTGCTCATGTGGTGTTGAGGAATTGAACCCAGGGCCTCATGCATGCAAGGCAAGCATTCTACCACTGAGCCACCTTCCCAGCCCTATTCGATTTATTTTTGAAGATTATTTCAACTATTCTGAGTCCCCTGCATTTCCATAAGAATTTTTGAATTAGTTTGTTTATTTCTATAAAAAGGTACCTGAACTGGAATTTAATTTTTATATTAACCTTTCATCTTAATATTAATTTTTAAAACCCATAACTCTAGGATGTCTATTTATTTAGGTCTTAATTTCCTTTTAACGATGTAATGTAGTTTTCAGTGTACAACTCTTTCATATTTCTTTTGAAAGCAGACATAACTTTACCTCCTTTCCAGTTTGGATACTTTTGATTTGTTCCTCTTGCATAACTGCCTTGGCTAAAAGCTCTATAAAAATGCTGAATAGAAAAGGAGAAAGCATGGGGCTGGGAAGGTGGCTCAGTGGTAGAGCGCTTGCCTTTCATGCCTGAGGCCCTCGGTTCGATTCCTCAGCATCACATAAAGAAAAAAGCCTGAAGTGGCACTGTGGCTCAAGTGGTAGAGCGCTAGCCTTGAGCTGAAGAGCTGAGGGACAGTGCCCAGGCCCAGAGTTCAGGCCCCACGACCGGACCTCCCCCCCCCAAAAAAAGGAGAAAGCAGACAACTTTGACTTGTTATTAATGTAAGGGAAACTATGTCTTCTTTTTTCTGTTCAGTGTAGTACTTAATTTTTCCAGTATGCTCTTTATTTAGTTGAAATAGTTCCCATCTATTCTTAGTTTATTGGCCATTTTTTTAAACACAAAGGGATGCTGTATTTCATTTAATGCTTTTTAAATAAATGATCATGTGGTTTTTACCCTATATTTTATTAATATGGTATACTATGTTGAGTTATTTTCATATATGAAAGTAACATGATATTTCTGGCAATGTAATTCTTGTAAATTCTAAAATGTTTTCTGAAAATTTAAAAGCACTAATCAGCCTGCTATTAAAATCTTTGTATACTGAGGAATCGAACCCAGGGCCTCATGCATGCAAGTGGCTCAGTGGTAGAGAGCTTGCCTTGCATGCATGAGGCCCTGGGTTCAATTCCTCAGCACCACATAGGAAAATATACTTTTACACATAGTAATGAACTCATCACACATTGTTTGATAGGCTGTATCATGAAAACACAACTTTCTAATGTTTACATAGTATATATAAGGATACATCATATTCTAGTCAATTTTTTATACATAAAGGTGGATTTGAAAAACAGCTGGTATTTGAACATTATTTTTATTTATTGATATAATTGCCTAAACACTAGATTATTGATGAAAAACTATTAACATTTATGCATTTAGGCATTACTAACTTGCCACTCAGGAAAAAATATGTCTCATGATTAATTCACATCAACATTGTTTAATAAGGCCTTATTTACCACATTCTAATCAATAATGGGCACTAATCTTTTACATTTACAAATCTTTTGATTTGGCTGTTTCAGTACAACTAAGGTTTAATATTTGTTCTGCTATGTACTGTTGATTCATATGTATTTTTATTGATATATGTAGATTTTTCTATAAAAATAGGGTCATCTGTTTCTCATAGATTTGACATTTTAGCTTTTTAAAAAATAGTATATGGCAAAAACTTGCTCTTAGTTGTCATCTGCATGATTTCACATTTAAGACTTTTCTTTGTAGGTTCTTTGCTTTTATGTTTAGAAATTCTGCAACCTGAGATTAGATAAAGACTTACCTACTTTGTTTTTATCAGGTTGTTTTATGGTTTTGCTGACATCAGAAATATATTTTTATACAGTACGTAATAAAGTTACAACTTAATGTTAAACCAAATTGTGAAATATGCACCTAAACATCATGTATTGAACCTATTATTTCCTTACAATTCTGAGTTGTGCCAATTTTATCACATAGTAAAATCTCCATGTTTTTTGCAATTGAGTTCTAATGATGTATTGCTCAGTGTTCCACCAGTGCTGCCCAAGAGAAACAAAAATGGAGCATGGAATGGTTAATCAATAAGTATAGCCAACCTCTAGCTTTTAAATTTAGGGATGTTCAAAACAGAATAGAAACAAATTCGGAATGGCTTTTGGAATATATGTTTAACCTTTTGATAAAAGCGACATAGAAAAAAATGAACGAGCATGTTTCTTTGATCAAGATGAAGAAGAGGACAAGGGGAAAAGTAGAGGCAAAGCATTTCAGATACCTCAGAACTGTACCCTACTACAGAATAACATATAACTTATGCTTAATAGGAAAGAATGGAATATAAACAATTACAAATTGAGACCAAGGAGAGAAGATGATAATATTCTCAATAGTTAGTTGTCTTACCTAGAGACGCATAGGATCCTGGATTCAGGGCTCCTGCACCTAACCGACCACTTCGCACAGACTGTCCAGCTGCATGATGTGCCTTGGCACCAGCAGCAGCATTCACATCAATGTCACTTCGGGAACGCTGCAGGCTTCCTGGAAGGGAACTGGCTTTGCTGCTGCCCACTGATACTACAGAAGACAAAGGTAATCTATCATTTAAATCACTGAAAACAACATGAAACATGTATAAACTTGAAGTTAGCAGGAACAAACATGAAATTCATGATGACATATATGGGCAGTGAAGAGAAGCAGTGTCCAGATGGACAAATACTTAAAGTCTAGAGTGCCTCAGCTTCCATCTTGACAGAATTAAGTTTCTTGGGAAAATTTCAATATTTCTTCATCTCCCTCTCTCATAAAATAGATGATACATATGAGTTAAGAATATGAAATACAGTATTTATAATATAAAAATGACAGCAGTTTTGTCATTTACTAACAGAAAATTACAAAAGTCCAGAAGAGAAATTAATGGTACCTTTGCCTTCTTAGGCCATGCAAGAAATTAAAGTTCTGCAATTCACCTTTACAGTCTTAATATACTAGGAGTCATGATATATTAATAGATTGTGAAATCTACCTTGGTGGGTCATGACCAGCATTTTAAAGAAATGAAACACAACAGAAAAGAGACTGCACCAGAAACAAAAGAGGCAATTACCTCTTCCAGCCACAGTTGAAGGGTTGGCTGTAGACCATTTGGAAGAAAAAGGGCGACTGAAAAGTAAAAAAAAAATGTTAGTAAGATTTAATTTATAACTCACTTGTTTACTAATACTGAAATACTACTTTCTGAAAAGTTTAGAAACTTCTAAACTTCCTTTTTAAAATTACACTAAAATACTATTCTTAACCATATGTCATCAAATATCAATAGTGTCACTACTAGCTATAAAGTAAAAACAAAATAACTGGCTATGACCAAAGACAGGAGAGCTGTAAAGAAAGAACTGGTTACTTTTATTCCCTCTGAATCTCAGTTTACATCATGGTGCATTCCTGAGAACTCAGTACTAGCACTATCACCTACTTGTTGTACCCTAAGGTATTTTACTTTTAAGAGAAAAGTGACTATTATAGCACCATAGGTAGCTCAGCACTCCCAAAGCTTTGCATGTAAGTCACAATGGCTGTGGCCATTATAGTTATGATATAGAAGGTATACACACACCTCTCATGTAATACTACTGTACCTGTGGATGGGACAGTAAAACAAGACTAAGAGCTGTTGCTGAGAATAACAGGTACAATTACAGAATGTTGGCAAGACATCTCTGATCATCTCAAAGAACCCATCATCTCTCTGAACATTTTTTGATTATTTATCTTTAGTTACTATGGTAGTCTATAGACCATGAATAAATAAAATATTTAGTATATAACAGGATCCAAAGGTGGGAGATTAAATAAGCAAGAACCTCAAATAGGTTAATGCAAGATAGAAAAATATTGTTATTTTTGGGCTGGGATGGTGGCTCAGTGGTAGAGCGCCTGTCTTGCATGCCTGAGGCCCTGGGTTCATTCCTCAGCACCACATAAGCAAAAAGAAAAAAGCCGGAAGTGGCGCTGTGGCTCAAGTGGTAGAGCGCTAGCCTTGAGCTGAAGAGCTGAGGGACAGAGCCCAGGCCCAGAGTTCAGGCCCCACGACCGGACCCAAAAAAAAAAAAAAGAAAAAGAAAAATATTGTTATTTTTGACTTTTTGTTAGGGCTTACTATAGAACCCAACAAATTTGACTGCTTGTTGCCTTAGTTTCCTGAGTGCTAGGAGATATGTGCCACCACACCCAGTTCAGAAAGATATTCTTTTTTTTTCAGAAAGATATTAAGTTAGATTATTACCTTTATTCTTTTCTTTTTTAGTGATGTCAGGGATTGAAGCCAGGACCATGCACATGCTAGGTAAGTACTCTACTACTGAGCTTCAAACTGTTGCCAAAGCAACCAGCAATGTTTGGAGCTTACAAACAGGAAAATATTAACTATTATAGAAAGATAAACTGACATTCTGTAAAATGTTCTTCCCTAGAAAATCTGTAGATTCCTGGCACAGGGCAAGAGTCTATGAAGTCCATGTAAATAGTCACTTTTCTCTTTTAAATAGACATAGCACCACTGTTCAGAAACAGAAAAGGCTTAAGAAATCTTTGCAATCTCATAAGTCTAGTTAGATAGAAAGCAGGTTACCACTGCCAAAGCAGTGAAGATCTAAAACAGTTAAAATCTTTAAGAAAATAGTCACAGAAAAGTTAGATATGAGATCATTTTGCCTCCTATAGGGACTTCCAGATTCTTTCCACCTTTTTTTTCCCCCCATTTCTGTTTTTGGTGTTACCATGGTTTGAGAACAGGTCTTCCTACTTGTTAAGCAAACATTCTACCCCTTAAACAATGCCCTCCAGCTGTCAGGAGTTCTTAAGCTATACAGAAGGATAGAAAGAAAAGCATGGAATTTTTATACTGAAGAGGACTTTTAAGTCCTTATTACAATTCCCTCATGATAATGTCCTGGAAGTGGCCTTTTTTTTGGGGGGGGGGTTGGTCATGGGTCTTGAACTCTGGGCCTGGGTGCTGTCCCTGAGCATTTCAGCTCAAGGCCAGTGCTCTACCATTTGAGCCACAGCGCCACTTCTGGTTTTCTGGTGGTTAATTGGAGATAAAGAGTCTCATAGACATTCCTGCCTGGGCTGGCTTTGAACCACAATCCTCAGATCTCAGCCTCTTGAGGAGCTAGAATTACAGAAGTACGCCACCAGCGCACAGCACATTAACTTTTTTAAGGTATTAAAAGTGCATATAAATTAGTGCTTCCCAGGCCATCATAGTTATGAATATAGAAACAAAATATGAATAATTAGACAGTTTATAATAATAGCATATAGTACAACCCTTGAGACACCAGACCAAAGAAACTAAACATAATCAAGCCATCATTTTTCAGATTACTGACCATCCAATTTAGGAGAGCGGGAAGGAGGGATAGATCAGTCATTATTATGTAAATAACCTTACTTTAGACTTTCTTGTGAACTAGATGAAGACCTGTCTGATTGTGGTAGAGATGCTACACTGCCAGAGCTCTTCAGGTAAGTTTGAAGACTTTTCTGATAAGACGGCTCAAGAGAATTATATAATGTTTCAGCTTCACCAGGAAAGTGGTTTCTAAGACCCATATATGTCCTGCAAAAGAAAGAATAGCACATAAGTAAGAGCTTTATGTGATTAGACTTTAACAGCAAAATGTGTGAAGATAAACTCATAGGTTTTTACTGTATCTACAATATGCTAAATGAAAACTTTCTAAATTGAGTAAGTTTCAGTGAAAGACTGTAGACCTTTGGAAAAAGCAGAGCAGTTCAAAACCTTGCTGTGCCACTTATAGTTTATACAGAATTGAGTAAAACTACCACTACAGATAAACGATAAACCAGCTTTGCAGGATCAGAAAGTGAAGAGACTACGTTGGAATAAGAAAACTAAAAAACAAAAACAAACAAAAAAAAAAAACCTCACAAATGACAAGGCAGTTTTGGAGAAAAATCAACCTCAATTTTGCTGAAGAGCTAAACACTAATCACTGCTAAAACACATGGGACATGTATGGTGTTTTCATTCACCCAAGGTAAACTGCTGGAAAAAAAAAAAGGGGGAGTAAAGTTTGTCTGAACTTTCACAAAAATAAACTACAAACTTACTTTCTTGCCTCCACTCTGGCCTCAGCATCAGCATCATGAATTCCCTTCTTAATTGTTTCAACCAAGACAGCTGCATGTCTATAAAATAAAAATTTGGATTCAGATGTGAATCTATGTAGTTAATTACAAATACTTCCTAACACATTACACATCCATCACAAAGGATGGGAAAGTCCGAAAGATTAGTGAAAATAAGATTATAGGATCCCTTCCTTCTTCCTTCTTTCTGAAATGGGGGTCTTACGCTTTTAAGTCCAAGCCAGCAACATTGCTGGAATTACAAACATGCACTATCACACCTCAGCTCAAGACTGTAGTATTTTCTAAAAACTTGCCCTACATATTTCATTCACATACGATTTCCTTTTGATAATTATCAGTCTGAAATAATTATTTCTTACAGAAGCCAGATAATATGAGAATATATAGTACCTAAAATCTAAATTTTAATGACTTAGGAAGAACAAGAACCTGAGTGGTTCCTCACTAATTCACCACTGCAAAAAAAAAAAAATGTTAAAAGTATAATCTATAGCTGGGCACCAGTGTGTCATGTCTGTAATCCTAGCTACTCAGGAGGCTGAGATCTGAGGATCACAGTTCAAAGCCAGCCCAGACAGTAAAGTCCATGGGACTTTTTTTTTTTTTTT